AAAAAAAAAAATCAATGCAAATATATCGACGTAACAATAACAACTTAAACGCCGTGATACTCTAGTTGCAAGAAGCACTTTTTGCCTTTTCTGTCACCATCTAGCAATTGTCGTTTAGATCAAGCACTTTAGACTCCAATCTCGTCAAAACAATTAGACTAGGTCTGTTCTTGGAGCAGGTAATAATACCTTAATTCATCTATATTCTGGAACAATAAAAAATGATGTACTTTCGTGGTAAGCACCGGACTTTTTGCCAAGTAGAATCATCGTAAACGCTATGCTCGACAAAACCAGAATTTTTTTTCTATGCTCGCTCAAATGATAATGATTTGAAATTCAGGAGCAGTTGTAGAGAATAGTTTGAGTGAAAAAAATTGAAATTGGCATTAACAGTGCCAAACAGTTATAAAATTTTTTTACTTTTCATTCTATTTTTATATACATCCGTTTTTTTAATTTTTTTTTTCCTATTTGGCTACCAACTGCCGCAATACGTATGGCACATGATCTAAGAGTACCGCTAGTCTATTCGGTATTCAATATTCTACACGTTCAATACGTTAGTTTTTTTGTACAGAAATAACTGTAAGTATTGATCAATTAATAATTATCACCTTCAAAAAAAAAGAAATTGTTTTTTTTTTTTTGAATACATTAGCTACTTTTTCCGTTAGAATTTCAAGGCCCATCTGACTGGTTTCTGCAAATTTCTCTTAAATGGAAACGATGCCTTATCAGTGCTGTTGTTACCTTTAGTGGATCAAACAACGGTTTAATGATAAAACAGAGAAACTTACAACAGCCATATCAATAAATCCTTTTTTTGTTTATCGAATGCCCTTGCAGGCATAGGTTAGACTTATCCGTATTATTGCTTTACAATTTCATCAATTGTTTTCTTTTTAATTTGAATCCAGTAAACTCTTACATAGAAGTTTTCTCAAATATAATCAGGGATTTTTACGGATAAATAGTTGAACTTGCTGTATCCGGCAACTCTCCTTTTATATGACTGTTAAGGAGATTTTTATTCATTTATAAAAAAGTTATTCATTTTTGTTATCTCGCTTCTTATTTATTTATTTTTTTTTTTTTTTATTTTTGATTATGTTATGAAAGAATTTTGAATTATAAAAAATTTTAGATGGCTTCAAGCTCATTTGTATTTTAGCTTTTCAATTTTTAAAGCGTGTTTTAATTTATTATTCATTGACAACAACAGATTAAATTTGTCTTTCATTTTTCAAACAATAAACAGTGCTGAGATTTGTGAAGTCAAAAAGCTAAAAAATTTTCATCAATCAGGATTAAAAATTTTTAATTTTATACTATACATGTTACAAATACAAAACTCTTTTTATTGCTGAGATACTGATCGTGCCCATTTGCCAACCTTTTCCACTGCGGAAGGTATTGATTCGCCTAAATTCTTTCATATAAATTAAAACTGTAAACGCTTTAGTTCTTGACTAAATTCTAATATGACAACTTGATGGTAAATAGAGCTAAGCGACTACAGGTTGAAGTGATGTAACGAAGTATTCGTTTAGTTTCTGTACAAACCTCCAAATGCCATCTGTCGAATAAATTCATCATCTTCAAGTTGACTTTGTCGTCGGGTAAATTCGGGATGCGGCGCAACCTGCGGTCTTGAAGCCAGTCGAGATAGCTAAAAAATTAGCAGTTAAATGAAAAGTATCTTGACTACTT